GGGACCCAGCAGCGCCCCCGGACCCGGAACCGGCACCGGATCGGGAACGGGAACAGAACCGGGAACCGAACCGGGAACGGGATCGGAACCGGGAACGGGATCGGGAACGGAACTGGGACACAGCAGCGCCCCCGGACCCGGAACCGGCACCGGATCGGGAACGGGAACAGACCCGGGAACCGAACCGGGAACAGAACCGGGACCCAGCAGCGCCCCCGGACCCGGCACCGGACCGGGATCGGGAACGGGATCGGAACCGGGAACCGAACCGGGAACCGAACCGGGAACGGGATCAGAACCGGGATCGGAACCGGGAACAGAACAGGGAACAGAACCGGGAACCGAACCGGGATCGGAACCGGGATCGGAACCGGGAACAGAACCGGGAACCGAACCGGGAACGGGATCGGGAACGGGATCGGGAACGGAACCGGGATCGGGAACCGAACCGGGATCGGGATCGGGAACGGGAACAGAACCGGGAACGGGATCGGGAACGAAACCGGGATCGGGAACGGAACCGGAACCGGGAACGGGATCGGGACCGGGAACGGGAACAGAACCGGGACCCAGCAGCGCCCCCGGACCCGGGACCGGGACCGAACCGGGATCGGGATCAGAACCGGGAACGGGACCGGGAACGGGAACCGAACCGGGAACGGGATCGGAACCGGGAACAGAACCGGGAACGGGATCGGGATCGGGAACGGGAACAGAACCGGGAATGGGAATGGAACCGGGAACGGGAACAGAACCGGGACCCAGCAGCGCCCCCGGACCCGGCACCGGAACCGGAACGGAACCGGGATCGGAACTGGGAACGGAACTGGGAACCGAACAAGGACCCGGGACAGAACCGGGATCAGAAGCGGGAATGGGAACGGAACCGGGACCCGGAACCGAACTCGGACCCGGAATGGAAGCAGGAACCGGATCAGAACCAGGAGCCGGAACCGGGCCGGGAACGGGACCGGGAATGGAATCGGAACTGGAAACGGGAACGGAACCGGGAACGGAGCCGGGAACAGAAACGGAACCGGGAACTGGAGCAGAACCGGGAGTGGAACCGGGACGGTCGGGAGCAGAACCGGGACCGGGACATCGAAGGGGGTCAGGACCGGGACCGGAACCGGGGCCCCGAACCGGGTCGGAACCGGCACCGGGAGCGGGCCGGGAGCCGGGGGGCAGCGGGCCGGGCAGCGCCGCCAGCCCGTACACGTTGCTCTGCGAGCCCAGGCGGCTGAAACTGTCCTCGACCAACGGGCACCGGGACCAGAGCGACATCACGGAACCGGGACCGGGCCGGGACCTGCGGGGAACCGGGACACAACCGGGACAGGGAGCGAACCGCGCCAGGCAGCGCCGCGGGCAGCCCCAC